TGTAAAAGCTGCACATGAGATATATATATATAGAAAAAAAGGAAGAAAGAAAAACAAACACAAAAAGAAAACTGGACTTGCCCTGTTTCATACCAATATGGTAGCTCTTAATAAACTGCAATAGATACATTCCGTAAAATCAAAAAATTTTATTTATAGCATTTTTCCATAGCAAACACCAGAACATGACAATGTATACCTTATTACATGTTAGTACACAATAGTGACATGATTTTAATGTTTGAAATAATATTTAGCAGATTATCCATTCTGAATCCACTAGCTGCAATAAAAATTATGAAACTGACAGCACAACACCCAGCCCCTTTCTGCTGAGCCTTGAGTTTTCATTGCTTACCGTCTTGTCATATCAGTTCCCTCTAACAGTGAGTTAGCAGCCTGATGGCATAATTAGACAGCTAACATCTATTTTAGGAGTCTATTGAGCTTTCTAATTAGGAGCAGATTAATGGGCAGTGAAGACGGAGCTCCACAGCAGCAATACCAGTGACCCACTGTTACCTGCAGCTGTGCGCTGCCCAGGGGTGACAAAGAGTTGAGAACTGGGAGACTGTAAAGTGCATGTGGTGTGTATGTGTTTATGGACCAGGACAGGGGTCTACCAGCTTTGCGATCCAAATAGTTATTTTTGCCCTCAGTCCATCTAAATAAATCTAGTTTATCTGTCAGGAATAAACCTAGATAAATATAAAAAAAAAAATAAAAGAAAAATACCAGTACTTGTAGTCACATTCTGTCACGGAAATTCATTGCAATCAAAATCTGGCCTTTGTTGCTTTCTCTATAACTAAAAAGTTAAGCCTATCATTTTAAGCCAAAGTTATTAAGAGCCAATGTCAAAGAAGGTCCAAAGAGCCACTTGAGGCTCTTTAGCTGCAGATTTTAGACCACTGGACTCAGGCAATGAGGGAAAGAATTAGAGATTGAAGGTGGGCCTGGCATGTGGGAGTTTTGATATTGTTATAACTGCTGGCACCATGAGAGAAAGGGATCCAGGGCAGTGTGTGTGTGTGTGTGTGTGTGTGGGGGGGGGGTGTTCAGAGTCTACCCTCAGGTCCTTTTGAGACACCGTGAGGAATTGAAAGTCTCACTCTGGGGTGCCGAAGCACTAATTCTAATTATCACCAGATTACAGAGATAATAGGGGACCCTGCTGTCAGGAATATAACACCTCTCTTTCTCAAACTGGCTCTCAACTGCTCTTTCTCCCTCATATATTCATTTTACAGGCCAGCAGTCACTATAAACTCTTGGTAAAAGGTAGTGAAAGTGCTTGGGGAGAGAATGAGGTGCAGAGTGAGTAGTTTTCAGAGTATTAGAGAGTAGGTGAGGAGACTGAAAGAGGGCCAGAACTGACAGGAGAGTGAACAAGAGTGAAAAAAAAAGATTTAAAGAGAGAGCTAGAAAGATATCAAGAACAATTTAGCGATATAAAGAAACTCTCAGGTTAGAGGAAAGCACCATGGAGCTAAGACTGAAAAAATCCCCGTCTTCTAAGTAAGTTTAAAATACACGGCAGGCTCATCCTAATGTCTGTTACTTTGGTGCCATCCAGCCAATCACATTCTTGACATCTATTTATTTTCGAGCCCATCTCAAGCAAATGCATAAAATAAATATGACTTTGCAAAAAAACAAAACAAAAAACAAAAGGAAAAACATTTTGCTGTTTTTTTAGTTGTGTTTCCATCAGTTAGTGATATGAATTTGAACCAAACTTTACAAATATTGTTCTGTTGACAATACAAATAGGCTTATGTGCATCAACTGTTTTGATACTTTGTTGTTAATATTTGGTCTTAGGATATCTGTAGAAATGACTGCAGTTGTTTTAGTGTCAATACTAAGTTAGTAGAAATTGTATGATTCAAATGTAAACAAAAACAGGAAACCAAAATATTGACCAGGAGATTCATAATAAAAATACAACAAATATTCAGTGTCCATAGCATATATTCACATAAATTCAACATAAAAATGCAAAGAGACTTGCAGTTACATATCACAACATATTTTCTTGGCTTTAAGTTAGACAAATCTAACAAAAAAATCCTAACAAAGCCTTTTGATATATCCACTATTTACATTTTTATGATTTGTTTATCTAATGTGAATCTAAAAATGCAGTGTAATGCCTATCTTTGAAAATATTTATTATGTTCATATATTTCTGTTTATTTTTATTATTATTATTGGAACACAAATGAAGGACATAATGCATTTGGGAATGTAATATGTGATCTGCCAGGATAGAAATGTTTTGCTATGATGTGAGGTATAAGGTCAGGGAGTGTCTCCCTGTGGAGCAGCAAGTTAACTGATTTGGTGCCAAATGGTCTACACCACACTGTTCTGCCAATCTGTTGGAGTTTGGCACTAAAACGCACCTGCAGATATGCTGGAGCCTGTGGTGGGTTGCTTTATCATTACACACCAACGGACCAAACTTTAACTTGATGTGGCACATTTTTATCGTCCTTGTTTATATGACCCACAACTATCCCTTCCCTGCACATTAAAAAACTGATCATCTAATGTCATTATTCAGTGAGACTATGAGCCAGGTCCACTTTCTATCACTCTCCAAAAAAAGAAAAAAAACAAAAACACAGAACTTACATTTAGGAACACATCAGACAGAATTATTAAACACATAAAGTCAAGAGTGGTGCACTCACTTTAAATGGCTCTTCATCACTCTGATGGATTTACTGGGCCAGCAAATCCTGTTTTTATTCTCAAATGAATCTGTTCAGGTACCTGATAGAGACCATAAAGAATGACATATTTATCTTCAGGCTAGGAGGTTTGACAAGGACAGGCAGGGTGAGTTATTACAGTACACAGGATGGGGGCTTCACTGGAAACTTGGCTTCACAAGATGTTTTAGGAGTATTTTACTGTGCACACCAGTGGATTGCCAAAGGACAGTGGTTTGTCTATACAATAGGGGAAAAAAATCTGAGCATTCAAGAAAAAAAATAAAAATCTTATAAAAGCTAGTCAACAAATCATGTATTGGCAAGTTTGAACTTTTCATCCACTGTGCTTTCTTACACTGTCCACATTTGGCACTCCCACATAGAGATGTTATTAGTGCCATTAAAGTTTATCAGGCACAGTTTTATTTCAAACTGTATCATAAATCAGATCAATAATGGAATCATATACCTGTTTGTAGTTTGTTATGGATCTTATATCAATTTCATCACTGGGCATAACCCAGTAGTCTCCCTTTCTACTCTATAAATCAGTTCCCCTTAATTAACTGAGCTGCACAGCAAAAAGCAATTTAATTTAGAGGATTAAATATTGAATATCTATGCATAATTTTTAAAATTTTATGTCTATTCAACATCCATGCAATGTATGTATGTTCCTCTTTCCTGTATTAGTGCAAGGGACTACAGTGATCACCTAGACATATACAATATTACCAAAGGTATCACTCACCCATCTAAAATATTAAATCAAAGAGCATTAATCATTTCCATTGCCCCAGTTGTTTAAAGTCAAGCACTCAGTCATACTGATGGCTTTTACCAACATTTTTGAAAGGATAAGTTGCTTTCAGGACCTCAGTGAATTCCAGTTTAGTATCATGATAGGATACCAACTGTCAACTAAGTCCAGTGACATTTGCCTACAACTAAATACTCACAGTCAAATGTTAGTGGTATTATAACAAAGTGAAAGGGATTACTGATGACATCAACTAAGTCACAGGGTGAGTTCAGCAGACAGCAGGTGCATATTGCTTGGAGGTTGCCAATTGGTTCTGCAGTATCAACAACTACAGAACTACAATTTTCACGTGGCCTCCAGGTTAGCACAAGATGTAGGAGGTGGTGCTTGCAGTGCCTAAAGGCATACAACTAATGGTCTTTAGACCAGTGCAGATATGTTCTCAGCTGTTGCTGAGAGAACAGCAGTTGCCTCACTGCATTGTGGGGGATGTAACATTTGGTGCAGAGGTTATGACATGGAGGTATTTTCCACGTGCTGGGTCCCTTAGTTCCAGTGAATTAGCTACTTAATGCTGCACCATATGAAGATACCTTTAATAATTCCATTCTCCCCAACTTTGTGGGAACAGTTTGGGGATGGCCCCCTTCCTGTTCCAACTTTACTCTGCACCAGAACACAAGGCGAGGTCCAGATAGACATGAATGAGTGAGTTTGGTGTGGAAGAACTTGACTGGCCTGCACAGTCATGACCTCAACCTGAAACTTTACCTTTGGGATGAATTTGAGAAGAGGGTGCAAGCCAGACCTTCTCTTCCAGCATCGGTGTATAAAGTTACAAATTTGCGTCAGGAAAAATTTACAAAAAAATCCCATAAACACACTCTTAAGTCTTTTGGAAAGCCTTACCACAAGAGTTTAAGTTGTTATAGCTGCAAAGTGTGGACCAACATCATATTAAACCCACTGGCTCAAGAAAGGGATGTCACTAAAGTTTATCTCTGTGAAGGCAGACAAGCATACACTTTGGCAGCATAGTGTATATACATAACAGCATTCCTACAGTAACAAATTATTCCAAGTAAAATTGTTTTCATCCAAGTACAATTAAAATACACCAGTATAAGTATTATGTAGAAATGAAAATACTGACCAATACTTTTACTGTGAGACATCTTTTTCCTGTAGTGATTTTATTCTATGTTTTAGTACAATTTATTCACGCAATGGTAAGTGTGAATTTTGTTAATAAGCCAATGTTTGTGGGTCTGGTGAACTGGCAGCATCAGATAAGACTCTTAACAGATGTTTACAAGCAATATAAATAACATATATTGTAAGTAGTTGACCTTTAACGCTTTGAGTGTCTCGTTACTGAAAAGCGCTATATCAATAAACTTACCTTACCTTACCTTTAAGCATGTTTTTTAAAGATATTTTTTCAACACTAAAGGACATTATTTTTCATTCTTCAACAGTAGGCAGTCACAAAAGAGGGGGAGAGATTCGGCAAAAGTCACTGGGTCCAGGACTCGAACCTGGGACTGACACATCAAGGACTATAGCCTCTATATATGGTTGCACGCTTAACCCCTACACCACCAGCACTGCACCCTAAATTAGAATCTTTTTTTTTTTTTAATGAAAAGCAATAATAAAATAAAAATAGAAGTAAAAATAAATAAATATAAAATTGAAGCAAGCTTTTTTCATAACTATTCATTTTATTTATTGAACATCATTATAACTTTAACCAACTGAGGTCAGTAACCATATCCTCTGAATAACCCATCAGCACCTTTGAACACATTATTTTTTCATAGCCACTGTACAACACATGAGGGGCAGAGTTTTACTAGAGGTTTGTTGCACATGCATAGTACTTCTTGCACTTGATACATGAAAAACTCCAGTAAGAATAAGAAACACCTGCAAGGAAAGGCATGGAAATGGATTTGGAACATCTCCTCCCACTTCTTCAAAATTAAGAATAAGTTCCATCTTTCTACATTTGTGCAATCCACAATCCTGGAATCTGGTATGAAAAGCTCAAAAGATTTGATATTCTGTATATAAGTAACTACTATATATGGTGGCACTGGTTCCATTCTTATAACACATGCCACTGCAAAGGGGGGCTCAATTCTCTGGGCAAGAAGAACATTCGGTATTACCTTTTTTTATATCTTTTTTTTTTTTTTTACATTAACATTTCTTCATGTGCTAGTTGCTATTGTAAATATTCTGGTCCTAGAGGTAACTGCTGACAGGCTGGTCCTTTGGCCTGTGTTTGACTTGAAGCTGGCTGACCATCAGTCTCATCCTATTATTTTAATTCAATGTACGACACTTTATTCATAATCTTCCTTTGCATTATCATCAAAAGCTTCAGTCTCATACCAAATTAATTTTAAGGCTCTTTTAGCAGAGAATCTTTGGGCCATCTAGATTGGTTGTGATGAGAAACCACTCTGACAAGGCTAGATTTATTCAGCCTCCCTATTTGCGGCTGAGAAAGAAAATAAGAATGTATTCCCACACAGGGTAAGATGTGAAGAAATGTGAGAGCAGTTGCTGTTGGTGCTTGAATGTTGCACTACGTTTGAAACCTTGTCTAGAAATGGGGCAGAAACACAAAACTCACACGTAGACTCACAATCTCAAACACAAACACACACTAACATACACATGCACACAAACACTAATTAACTGGGTGAACAACTTCCTCATTTTTATTTGCACCAAGTCCACTGAACTTGAATCCCCTGTCTGTAATATAAATGTGTAAAGGAGGTGCAGAGTTTGTGGTTATTGAACATGTGCCTTTATATTCTTTATGTAAAATGAATGTGTTTGAAAAAAAAATCTTAATTTTGTAAATTTCCATTGACGAAAAAAATGAAAACAGATTCCATGGACAAATTAATATATTTACCTCCTGACAGTCTACAAAGGTGATAAGAGAAGTCCAGTTTCAGGCATATAACACATCATAAGTGCTGTTCTGCAATCAGCGTGTTTTTATTAACCTTTGTATGGTCACTTGGTTTACCATATTCCCTGTACAGTACATAAACCACCTCAGAGAAAAAAAGGACATAGAGAAACTGAAACCTTTTGTGCCTCATACTTCAGAAGAATGGCACATTTTTCATGTATATATATATATATATATATATATATATATATATATATATATATCAAAGGATTAGTCCTGTAAAGCAATCCAGTGGCATTCTTTCCTTCCTTGATTTGTTCTGTGGGACTGCTGTGTTGTCTGCTATGGCATGTGGAGCTAGAGCTGGGGAGTTAAATGGATTAATTACCTTTAAGGTCCTTTGGCTTCTTTTATTTCACAGGCAAACTCACTAGGGGCTTTTGAAATGCCCCCGTCCCACTATTCCTAATGACATAATCACATAATTAGGTGATTTTCAAATGGAATCGCCACATAAGTAGGCGGTTAATTTTCCTTGAGGCCTATTCATCTGATTTACTGGCTCGGTAGTCCATACAGCTTCAGTTCTGAGGAAATATTAAGGCGACAGTATGTCTAAAAGAGACAGTACTAAGAATTACAAAAGGCAAGATACCCATATTATTGATTTTAACAATATTTCTGTGAAATACATTTTTTTTTGTACAAATATGGTGAATTGTTCACAAATCACAAACTGTGATTTCAAAATATATGTGTAAAATATTCATTTACAGATGTGCCTTTCTTATTCTAATGTGATCCCAATGCCAAAAAATCACCCTTCTTGTGTTATTATAATGCAAAACAGGTTTCACAAATTTTAAACTGTCTCCCTGTTCATGAAATTATCTACTTCAGGTTGCATGAGTCTAAGTATTTAAGTTTTTTAACTAAGGATAATTAAATCCAGTCCAGAGTCATTAAGAAAACAGAGAAATTGCCCAATCGACTAGTGCTGTTATGAAGCAGATGCTTGGATCTTCAGATGCTTTTGCATCATTTGCAGCTCACAGCAAGTCACAGTACTGTCACAGTGTTTACACATTATTCATATTTTGTCTGTCACTCTATCACTGTATCTTTTTTCTCACTAAGTATTCAAAATACCACCATACCAAACAAATTACAAGCAACCGACACGTCTTCTGTGCAGATGTAACCAAGTGTCGAGCAGCTTGAAGACATCTTTCTCAACTGAAGAGCGACTTCCTTATATACTTCAACATAAGCCTTATACATACTGGGCTTTGAGCTTAAAGGAGTTTCTTCATAATAATAGTCTACATTTAATTATTAAAGTAAGATGACCACAGGAACAAGATTGCACTTTTTTCCATTTGATGAATTGTTTTCAATCAAAATAATGGTCAGTAGTGGAGTCCACCTGTGCTTTGGTGCTCCTGGGTGCTGCATGTCTTCTATTGTTCTTGCCACTCTACCAACTGTGCACCTTCAGGTGAGAAAATCGCTAACATACACCAACTCTAATTGTGTGATTGGCTTAAAGTCAATCACACATTTAGGATTTAGGATTTTAAGATTCCATCTTGAGATATCCTTTTTGTAGAGCAAATCTGTCCTGGCACATCTAGGCAACCAGCTTCTCTATAGGGTATGGCTGAAATCCCGCCACAGGACACATAAAAAAAAAAGGATGTTCCTATTTGGAGATTACAAATATCTGGGGACTGAAAATTAGTCCTAATATCTGATATGTGAATAGTAGTTGATGTTTATCGATTTTCTTCTTCTTGTCACAGTACAAGCATCTTCCTCTTGTGCAGTACCTACTACCTGATATTGTCGTATGTATTCCTTGTACATTAAAAATGACATGGATATGCCCTAAAGTTGATTATTTGTGCTCTCTTAGCAATACTATCCAATACCACAAAGGTAAACTAATAAAAGTCAGTATTTTCGTGTCATCAAACATGGTGTAGAGAAACATGAACAGAGAAGACATCCAATTTCTTACAGAACAGAATCTTGGCTCAAAGTCCAGCTCAATCAATAGAGAGAAAGAGGAAAAAAGGACTGGTTTTCAGAGCAGCGGATCTTAAATAAAGATTTCCTCCCATTCTTCGAGATTCTTGGGTGACACGGCTGAAATGCTCTCCTCATTGACTCCAAACAAGGGTCCAGTGCTCACGAACACTTGGGCCAGCATGCAGCAGTCTAATATGTGATGTGAAACAAGAAGGTGCCCTTTCATTCACTCCACTGTGGGCTTTCGTGAGAACAATCAACAGCTCTCCATGGCAAGAAGGCGTAAGGAGCAATTCCTGTCTCCTCTCACCCACAGAAGGAGAAGAAATCAGATAATTAAATGTGAGAAACAGCACAGAAAGTAAGAAAGGGGATGGACCTTTATGCACGGCTACCTTCCTGAGGCTACCTGCTCAGGCGTGGAGCTAGCGAGCAAGGAGCTAGCCATGGTGGTACACAGCAAAGGCCCTGCAGCGAGGAAACAGTAACGGAGCAGACCGTGACAAAAACGACTGCACAGCCCCTAAATGCTTCACCTGGCAAACACAGACGGTTGTCAGAGACAGGCAAGTCAGGCATGTCCTCTTCAAGTGGCACCACGTCCATCAGAGCCCATTCTGAATGGGGCCCTCTTGCTGTTTGCGTGGCCTGAGCTGCAATGATATGCCTCACTCCCCTCAGAAACTCCATAGACCGGTTCCACCATCAGAGCTATGGGAGGAGAGGTGTTGGGTTGCAGCCATTGTTGGGGACAGATAATGGAAGCGAGAGAAAAGTGTTAAAAATGATTGTGTCTCTGTTGGGGCTCAGTGTTGAGATCTGTGGACTGAATCACATCATAATAAGGAAGTGAAGCAGAGCAGGTCGCTTTTTTATTCTCTTTCAACAAGGCGTAACATGGCAGCCATGTTTTGGTATCCTGGTCTAACGTGGAGAAGTCATCTGGGAAAGTTAGGTAAAAAAAAAAAAAGGAGAAGTCTTTTAAACAATTTTCATTTTAAAGAACATATTCAACATAAAAAAAATATTCATATGTACTTATGAAAAAACTAATGATGAATGAGTACATTCAAGTTTTACATTTCACACTGTTTCATGTAGTCATTCTTTGTTTAAATAAGTTTAGTCTTGCATTAACTTTTCTGCTGTAATGCATTATTTTAAATTGCTTTTCAGTGACAATACATATATGTTAAATCATTATTTGTTGCGTTCGCTTCCATGTGTTTATGTGCACTTCTAGGTCTCACATTTACACAAATACCCCTGCTGAGTATTACAGAATGAAGAGCTTTCTTCACTCTATCGACTGAAAATCTAGTTGTCTCATCTCTCTAAGCAGATGTCTTCCCCCAAGCATCTGTTTGTATTAGTACTGTAATTGCTGGTGATAATAAGCCCATTGATTCAGTATCTAAGGAAATAGTCAATCAGGGCAGCCCATTTGTCTTACTTTTCCTGACAGTTTTCCCCTCTAGCTAAACAGACAGTGCCAGGGCCTGGGCTTTGTTGACTGAATTGGAAAAGCAGACTGTGGTTGGTTGGGAATAGGCATCCTGTCGACTCTGAGTGAGTGATGGGGCTGGTGCAAACACATTGGTGACCCAATGGCCCTTACAGGAGGCCCAGGGTGATAGAT